ACTAGCATACCTCAGACAGCCTTACTCCTATTACTCCTACTACTAGGGCATCACTGCCCTAAGTCCTAACTATTAGAGAGGGATAGACTACCTAGACACGTATGACTTTGAAGCGTGGGACTTGTGTTACACTAAAAGGGAACGTAAGGCAAAATCGTCAGGCTCTCACTATTGACGATAATTGACACTACGACTTCAGTAGACTTACTCCCTCCTCTAATAGGAGACGGCGAGCCAACGAATTTGTTCGTCGAGGCGAGTGTTCGCTGCGGTGTGACTGTTTAAGAGTGACAATGAAGTCGACAAGAGCTCGTCATGCCGAAACTAACGGGGAACACGGTGTCACGAGGAGGCGGACGAAGAATCACATAGGTGATGTAAGACCGCGACACGTCGTTCCATAACGGGAGATTGGCATCGGGCTACATTCCCCAAGGTAGTCATCTTCATTCCTGCGGCATATGATGAAGATTACGACATTCCTAAGTCACCGGCGGTCGGCTAGGTGGGGTCTGGAACTGGCATCCCTTTGCTCTACCTCTACGGTTGCGTGGAAGAGGACATCACACGTCTCAGGGCGAAACTACAAGGTAGAGCGACTGGCGCACATACCAAAAGTTTGATTTATCGTAGTTTTCACCGTATTGTTTTTGCATCGTACACATACAGATATTTCGAGAATGCAGATACGGGTAGCGAGTAAAGAAGAGTAGCTTAGGCAAGCTTTGTCAACGAGCCTCCCAATGAGCCAGGCTGTAAGTTATTACGTGATACATATCTCTAACGAGTTCCTGATCTTGCTGTGAGGAGCGTGCGATAGGGCACCGGTTAATGCTACTACGACTCATGATTCGAAGAGAATGCCGTTCTCCCAGACTGTTGGGCTCGTGAAGTCGGTCCAATTGGGTGGACAACAAGCAAGCGGTTGTCTCCAAGACATGTAGGAGAGCCACATAAGTGATCTGCCCCGTACATCCGCAGTCGCCCCTGTACCACCAGCTTTTATTATACATGCTTTGCTGGTAACTGCGGCAATAGTGTATCTTGGCCATAGCAACTAGGACCTGATAGGACTTGATAGATAGAATATTAGTATCGTGGGCCGTCTACCCATCTCCCCTCTCCCCAATCCTCCCTTCAAGTTGAATATATCACTTTTTGTTTCCTTCGCCCTTGGCCAGTCGAAGTCATTAATCCGCAAAAGGGAGCGCGGCTCGAGGACGGTAACGCTCAAGTGTCGATAAAAGGATATTTCGCATCGTATAAAACAACCACCCGTTCCTTACAGTTTTTTTTTGCCCCTGTTGATTTGTGCCTTTCATCCTGCACGACCATTTTCTATTGTATCAAATTCGAGGCGATGTCAATGTAAAACAAGTTCGAGGACATATACCAAAAACATCGATAGCCCCCAAACGCACATATCAGACGGCGCAGCAACAAAAACTCTGCATGTTACTATTCGCATATACATAACCGCCACCTCTTATATATTAACGTTACGACATCACGGAGTTTGAGAGTATTTCGATAGCCAGTAGTAGGCTAACGCCGCCACCAACGGCCCCCGATTCTTGATTTCAGAGGTTGCAGACATTGTTCGTAACCCGGCAACTAATATATTACGCATTGGTATTACGCATTGGTATTCTCACGTTCAAACACGATATAGAACCGTGGAAACAGACAGCTTACTCATTTAATATACTCGCTGCAGAGCTTAGAAGTTGTCTCTGTTAACTCCAAAAATACCATAATACCACAGTTCCACAATTCGGTCGAGACGGAGCAACAACTAGCTAGCCGGCACAGAGGGCTTGGCTGCAGTGAGGCGTCGCCTATCATATTCAACCTGGGATCTCGTCGAGAAAGGAACATCCCGCCATCGACTTGAACGAATTAAACGCTAGTTTTCCAACGAAGTATACCGCGCGACACTTAGTATATTCCGACTCGGTGGACAAGCACCCGCCCGTACCTTGTCGAAAAAAAAGCACCCTAGTATTTTAAACGGGGAAAAGCTATTATCTCAACCAGTTTGCATCTCTCGTCGAATAACATAAGAGTGCTAAGTTGGTTTAAGTGGTTTTAAGTGGTTTTAAGTGGTTTTAAGTGGTGGGTGTCGCGCGACCATCGGGATAAGCATCTTGGAAACCACGCCACTAAAAAGAAGATACCTACTTAAGTGTACCTACCTTGGAAGTACATACCTAAACTAGGTACCTAACCTAGAGAAGGACACGGCAAGACGACGGGAACGGGAGTCCCATTCAAGACCCATAGCCCCATCTGCACCCGCGCCTCACAGATTCGCACCTGCATTTTGGCCCTTCAAAAACCGAAAACCCGAAGAAATAGAGAAATTTAACCTTGGATCCAAGCTTTTTGCTCCATTGGGGAAAAGGGAAGGAGTCAAGCTACTGAAGCAGGCAAGGCAAAGCAAAGCAAAGCAAAGCAATTACAGAACTTAAGACACTTGCACTTGCACTTGCACTTGCACTAACTCCGCGGAGCTCCCTCAGCTCCCTCAGCTTGTCTTAAGCTCGACAAGTTTAGCTTCTTTTATCGATCAGACCGGTCTATTTTTCCTCTACCTACCTGTCTTCCCTAAGCTGGCGCCAGCTCTCTTCCTCCTTGTAACAGGTTAAGTACTACAAGAGAGAAACTGGGTTAACTGCACGCTCATTACCTGCAGCCTGCAAACGCTAAAGGTTTAGTCACAGTGGAGGATTGGACCCAGATTCAAGTCTATACACTATCTCTGCGTCTTTGCACTTCTGCATTCTCTGCCTGCTTTGCGTAGCTCGCACCCGTCAAAGTTCAGAATCCTCACCCAACATATTACTATTTCGAATAACCTGGGGGTTTGCTGCGTGAAGCACCTACAGAGAAGCTTGGATGGTACATGTACCAAGTTGTCCAGTTGCAGGTACTAATCGAGGTACATACTGGAATACATTCACCCACAAGCCATATTGAGGGGAAGTCGCACTTGAAAGTGCTTGCCTGTCGCCGAACTATTTAGGTACACATGTACCCCCGCTGTACACTGGAGCCAGGTCGTCGCACAAAGCACGAGCAAGAGCAAGAGCGAGAGCGCATTAGGACCCGTAACTGATAATACCTTACAGCCCAACCTGAATCGCTGCAGCATTTACATTTGCATTTGCATTGCCCGCGTCGCCTACATAATAAAAAATAACAACATACCTACATATAATCCACAATCCACAATCCACAATACACAATATACAACAAGTACCTACCTTCACTTAGGTACTTCTCGTTTTAACGCCTACCATACCTCCCCTGCCCTGCCATTACCGTCAAGTTGGCTGCAACCCTCCCCCCGAACATCTTTTCCCCCAGATCTATCAGATTCACACACTGCCAACTCTGTGAATCGTCTCTTTTGGGGGCCCACCCCCCTACCGATTCTAGCATCTTACCGTATTCTAAGTTTGGCCCTAGACCAGACTCGAGACCTTCTACTACCTCTGGGCACTGTTGGTTTAGGACTGATTTCTTTTTTGGGGCTTGATACATCCCTGTCTAGCTCTTAGGCCGGTCAGAACTGGGCAAGTCTCGCAAGACTGTGACTCGAAGCCGTTTTTGACTTTTACGAAAGAGTCCAACTCCATTTCGTAAGCCAATAAGCCAACCAATCCAAAGCACAAAATCCGTCCTCTGGCTTTGCGCAAAACACGCCCCAAAAGAGCGTGGGGCTCATTGCTCGTTCAAATAAGGCGCTCTCACGTTCTCATTGAAACTTAACACTTTTAGTACAACGGCCTGACCTACTTGTCTACGCTCAGTTGAGGCCAGCCCTCACGGGGTAACCTAACGATCCTTAGGCTGTACAGCTAGCTATATTCTTAAAACATTTCAGACCTTTGCGAAAGAGACACCGTGCCGCATCTGCATATAATAACTTTCGCTACCTGCCCCGTCAACTTCGAAGGAACAACTTCTACCTATAGTTACCTACGTAGTAGTTTATACGCTCGCAGCCGAGAACGTCTCTTGTTATTCCTCTCGGACCAATCCACGCCTACCCGCGCACAACCTACGTACGTACATTAAGGTACATCAACCCTTCCTTCGACTGCCTACCTGCCTGCACTTGACTAATTCATTTACTCCAGTTCTCTCGCTCCTCCTCATCGACCCTTCTCCCTCTTGTCCTGGCCTATTACCTCGCCATCTTGCCAACATATAACGGCAGTCGACTTACACGGTCCATTTTACCCTTGGGATACATGTATACAGAGACGTCATTATATCAGAATTTAAGTCGAGCTTCAGCTTACCGGCTTCTAGCGATATAGAAAGATAACAGAAGAGCAATCTAGGTAGGCACACCTCTCCTTCATAGCCTCGTCTGATTTATGCCCTATCTTGCCTGGTGTTGGAACGTCCCTCGTAGCATTCCGTCAGCCTTAGCATACTACTTGACTCTCCCCTCTCTTCAAACCCCGAACATATAGGCCGGCAATCTAATTTGTTCTTTGTCTCATAGTTCCGTATAACTAGAAGAATATTCTCGCATACATTTAGCGTATATAATAGATTTCGTCAAGCGGCCGGACATCACGATCGTTTCACCACGAGTATCACATTTCGAGCGTTATAGAGCCCGACAGATATAGAGCCCGACAGAGACGGCGCGGCACGCCGCTTCCTCCAACATACGGAATCCTTCTATAGGATACAAACAGACACCGCGGGACAACGTGGAGCTATGACTACAGCGGTAAGTGTTCATTTCCTTTACCGTTCCCTAAGGAGATGCAGCTTGGCACAACTGCCGTCTAGCGTCCCATAAACCAAAGTGTAGACGATGGATTCTCCAAGGCTGTTCTGGCCGCATGAGTGGTCGGTTGACTTCCAGATCATGCATGGCCACTTCTTTCACCCCGTTTGAGCTGTCACGAACCTCTGTTGCCAAGCTGACATGTGGCTGCATATAGACACGGCCCAACGGCTTTCCTAATCTCACCATGGCAAATCCCTCGAACGACAAGGCTGCGCAGCCTATTGGATCGACTTTCACCCAACCAACCTGGCAACCACATGGTATTTGGGGAAATGGCATTGGTGGTTCGTTGAATCCACGTCGGGATGTGACAGGCGCAAGAGGTATGTAGTGTGATACAGGAAGAAAGCAGAGGTATACTCCAAGGATAGACCTAATAAGTGTTATAGAATTAGATGAATTCTCGCCCGGCGCCACCTCTAGTTCTGGACAACTAAATCCAAACTCTCAAGCAGGTCCCTGGGGTCCTCGGCCTGGTATATGGACCCAGGGAAATGGTGCACATCAGGGTCCATCGTCTTCTGGAAGCATTTCTCCAACGCGCACGAGAGACGGCCTTCAACTCAGCTTTTCGGAAGCTCCAAACAACCCCCTTCTCTACCCGCCCCGAGCGCCAGGAGGCCAGAACGGGTCAGTTCCGACCAGAACATTACCACCTGGCCCTACAGATCACCCAACGTCATCTTTGAAGTACCCCACAGGCTTTGGAGATTCGGTTGGCGACGAGAGGGGGAACTCCAACAGATATGGATCAAACACCAACGGACAACTAGATTTTGAAACTGCTGTGCCCTATCGGCATAATTCAAATGACCCGTCCTTCCTCAACCTTGGGCATAATCGAAGCCTCAGCTCACGGCAGCCCGAGCCCGATGTACAGACCTCCCATCGTTACGGTGATAGCTCCCACTACTTTCCAAAGGCGCCTGGCTATTCTAAAACGCAGCCCCAACGTCCTTCTATTTCTGGAGCTTCAGTCACATTGCCATCGGAAACAAGCCGATCCATCTCTTTCCCTTTCGGGACAGTGGGAGCAGTAGATACTCCTAGTCATGACTTTGAAGAGAATTTCAACCGAGTTACCTTGGAAGATAGCTCTGATGCCGTCACTGGCACTTACAACGGACAATACAATCCCACCAATCAACACTCCCAACTGAACCCCGGATCTCAGACCTGGCAGCACGACCTAGGAAATAATTCGAGGGCATTCGGCCAGAACCTACAAGAGTCTTGGACGGACAATCTTACTGCTTCGCCCTATACCGCTAGGAGGGGTCCAGACGAAAGAGGGTCATCTGCCGAAAGACCGTATCGCCCTAGCGTCAATAGTCCGAGGGCTCTCTCAGGTACTCCAAACCCGAGGGCTGACCCATGGAACAGACCAGGTTCGCGGGATCCGAGGGTGCTTCAAGATCTCGAGCGGGCACCGCAGGGCTCCCAATACGTACACCCCCAACCCTTATTTCAGACATCTTTCTACAGTAGCAACCTCCCTCCGTTCTCAGCCCCTTACGAACAATATGCACAGAACCCAGGTTTCCGTCCTCAAATGCAGGTTCCGGCATATAATTTCCAAATGAATTTCCCCAGCCTTTCGGTCCCAGTGAGACCTAGCAGGGACCAGGATCCTGGCAAAGGTGTTCGTAGCGTGCTTCTCGAGGAGTTTCGGGGCAACGGTAAGTCTAACAAGCGCTACGAACTGAAGGTATGTTGCAGTATGCCTAAACGATAGCAGATTCAGGAATTAACCAAGGCGTAGGATATCTACGACCACATCGTCGAGTTTAGCGGCGACCAGCATGGCTCGCGGTTCATACAGGAAAAACTTCAGACTGCAAACAGCGATGAGAAAGATCAAGTCTTTCGAGAAATCGAACCTAATACACTTCAACTTATGAAGGACGTATTCGGCAATTACGTCATACAGAAATTCTTCGAGCACGGAAACCAAGTCCAGAAGAAGATAATTGCAGCACAGATGAAAGGGAAGGTCGCAGAGCTTTCGACCCAGATGTATGCGTGCCGTGTTGTACAGAAGGTAAGGCCAAGGCGAACAATATTACATTAGGAGCAAGCTGCTAACTGGCTATCAGGCGCTTGAACACGTGCTTGTCGAGCAGCAGCACGAGATCGTGGAAGAGCTTAAACCTGACATTATGCGGATCGTCAAAGACCAGAATGGGAATCATGTGATCCAAAAGATTATCCAGATGGTACCGCAGCAATGCATTCCTTTCATCATGGATGCTTTCCAAAACCAAATTGAATCCTTAGCATCCCACAACTACGGGTGCAGAGTCATCCAGCGAATCCTCGAGTATGGGACCGAAGCAGAGAAGAAAAGTCTCATGACGGATCTCCATGCTTGCGCGGCCAAGCTTATAACGGACCAGTACGGAAATTATGTTACCCAACATATCATCGCCCAGGGCGAACCGGAAGACCGGCAGCAAATAATTCAACTGGTGCTTCAAAGGTTGATAGTATTCTCGAAGCACAAATTCGCATCGAATGTGGTTGAGAAGTCGATTGAGTACGGGACGACGGAGGACCGGAGGGCAATCAGGTGCCAAATTACGGCTCTGCACAGTGACGGTACTAGCCCGCTCCAGCTCATGATGAAGGATCAATTTGGAAACTACGTAATCCGTAAGTTCGAAGTCGTACTCTGTTCAGTAGCACGTCATGACTAACCGATAGACAGAGAAGCTTATGCAGCACCTGGAAGGTCCGGACCGCGAGTCGTTTATAGAGGAGATGAGGCCTCACTTTGCGAACTTGAAGAAGTACAGCACCGGGCGACAAATCACAGCTCTTGATAGGCTGATGTCCGCAAGCTCGGCCGCTACCAGCCCCACTACGCCGAATCTATTAGTCGATGTTAATTCAGCTGCGCCTACTCCGTCGCTCACCATGGAGCAGAATAGCCCGCAGAGTAGCAGCCCGCCTAGCACCAATGCGAGCGTAGAGGAGTCTATGGATGAGAAGAATGGCAAGGCCTCGCCCCTCAAACAAGCTTGCCGGCCAGTTGAGGTTAGCGAACCGTAAGGCACCAGACGCGTTTTCGCCACGAACCAGCAGAATGTTACAGTCTTTCACCTCTTCGGACAAGGTCATCTAGCCATCTTGTAGGTCACGCATGAACCTATCGCCTGCAAACCCCCTTTCGTCTGTCATTTTTTCTTCGACGAGTCGAGATTAGCCCTGGTTCGTAAAAATATCATAGCACTGCAAATAACGCGAGAGATGGGAAGATCTCGGGTCGGTCGACACGACACTCTACGACATACAACATAGTAGCACATAATATCTGGTTTTAATGGTCTCATTCCGCATCAACGGATTCCCTTCTTGCGTGTCTTTTTTTCTCTCTCGCAAATTGGTTTATTGGTGCCTGCGGCTGGCTTGGGAGACGGCCATCGGCTCCCATTTGTGCGGGTTTAGGCGTACGGTGTTTGGGGGTGAAGGTTGGGAAATGTGGGCAAATCATAAGGCATTTTGGCGCGAGGTCTCGGAAGGAAATAAAGAGTGGCGAGCCGCCCTGGGGAACAGACCGACGGCCAGACGAGCACACAAAAAGCGAAAATTCACAGAGCAGCGTTTGTATTTTTCTATCTACTCGACAGCATGTGTTTCTCCCTTGTCGGTGTTGAAACGTAGATGAGCCTAGATATGACACATAGAATCGAATGCCTTACTCAATAGGTTAAAAGTTAGGGTAGCTATTCTGTTTGTTCTGGTGAAGTGGTTGTGGTGGTTGTGGTGGTTGTGACTTGAGAAGAGGTGGTGGCTTTTTGGGTAATAAATTGAGAAGTCCGGCCGTACCGCCGGTAGCCAGACGCCAAGGCGATAGGGCAAGATAGGGCAAGACAGGGCTGGTACTGTACATTATTCATTATTTCTATTATCGTTGGGCTCTAGGCTGGGGGAGGCCGTATGAGGATCGGAAGGATCTAGGTGAAACAGAGGCGTACGGCCACAAACGTCACTACCTCTTATCGATGGAGAAATGATGTGCTCGGTTGGCTAGTTGGGTAGCCTGCCGCGATAGATATTGAGGAGGCGTCGTATTGGGGGGATTGTGCTACTTAGTTAGTATCACGTCGCGCAACGGTACATAGGTAGATAGAGAAATGTATGTCTAAGCCTGAGGTAACCCATTTAATATATACACTACCTAAAGTATAAGTGCTTTTTTTCAGCCCTACGTTGGAGATTGATTCACTAGACTTGGTAAAACAAGACTAGATTAAGCTAAATTTACAATACGTAGTGTACATTACATATATGTATATACCTACCTAGGTATGTATGTATCTTGGTTGATGCCATGCATGTACAGTCCGAGACCCGGAAATAGAATCGGGAGGTTTTACATACCTTAGCCTACCTAAGGTACCTAAGCTAAAGTTAGGAGGTACATGAAGGGCGCTGTGCTTGTTGTTGGGGCTCAAAGTCTTACTATCTAATGCAATGTAGGTGAGTGGATGGGGCTTATGTACATATGTAGTTACCAATGCAGTATACATTAGGTACGTACATGCATGTAACCCTAAGGTACCGAGCCCCCGTCTCGGATCCTTCCTCCAATTCCTCGGAATCGTGTTTAGTAGGTATGTTGGCTGGTTGGTTGGTTACGTTGAAGTTCCAGGCGGGTCGTTAAAACGCCTATAAAATACGGGTATAATGTTTTAGTGAATGCGCGGGTGGAAGACCTACATAGGTAGGTAGGTATGCGTATGTGTATGTGTATATGTAGGCGCGCCTCTTATATTCGTATTCTAGACTTTTACGATGATGGGGAAATTAGAGGGAATAAGTAGGTAGTCAGTGGCTAGCTTGATACGTACTCATTCTTCGACCTCCGTGAAAACAAGTACCGGACAAGCAATCGGCCTGGCTAGGCATACTCGTGGCGAATAGTGGCGATGGAGAAAGGAGATTACTAACTTGTTCTAGTCAGATATATCGAAAGTCTAGACTTTCTTCCAACCGACCTCGTCATCGTGCTGCTTATGTATATACATACATATGTATGTCCTATTCGTCTTCGATGATCTGGTTTAACATACTAGGTTAAGTGGTGGGAGAGTCATCACTGCCTGGCATACTGCATATTTGCATCACTTGATATGTGAGATATCACGGCGCACGACGGGACGTTGGTGAGCGATGCAGTGAGGTGATATACATCGGATGCGGTGCCGCCTTCAATTGTCTACATTTTATGTCGTGCTACCACTTCCCAGGTCGTGTAACATAGGTAGTCATCATATCTGCCTAAGGTGTACGTATCACAGCCATCGAGGTAATGTGTCTATATTTAGTTCTTCAACACTTATGCGTTATTGTTGCTTTCGGGGACAGACCCCTCCCGAGCGTACCGAGCCGCTGCAGTGTTGTATTCGGCGGATGACGGATGTAGACTCGGGTATAAGATGAGGGTATACGCAGGCAGCAACGCTATCAATACTAGACATGTCTTTCGGGGCTAGGAGTGAGTAGATAGGATAAGATACGGAGATGTCGGGGTTAGTGTAGGAAATATTCAATAAATGGCGAGGATAAAGCTGGCAACACCTGCAAGCTAATATATAACTAGCTGTACTTCAATTAACTTAGATCATAGCTATAAGTCAAACGCTATATACTTCTATAGACGTAGACTTTGTTGAGTCCTAAACCTGAAAGTTAATCTGCTGCTGTTTATTAATCTTAAACAGCTCTGTGCCTTCTAGTTATTAGAAAAGTTAAATAGTCAAATCTCCCGAGTTGTAAAGGGGTTGGTTGCCTTATACTACGAATGGCGGTATCAATAGTTTTTTTTTTTTGAAAGTCATGATAACGTTTAAACCTATAAGTCAATACTAATAATGCTCTGATATCATAGAATATATACCAGTTCTTGCCAATCGTCGTTTTTACTTGCGTGTCTTGACTATTCGCCAAGTCGACTCTATTCTTCTGGGTCTCAGACAATTTAAACCCCTAATTAATTCGTAAGCTCTCTTTAAGATAAAAATTATAGTAATCTATGCTATATAAAACCGAGTATTTCATCCTCATCTTTGCCCTCAAAGACCATCTAGTTAGTAACCGGTTCTTAGCCGCTACTGCTATGATCTAGAAGGGTTAAAGCCTAACTGGTCTTTCCTCTTATTAGGGTAGTCTCTACAACAAATTGATTTTTCCGATCACCTATATGAGCCTACTCTAGCAGATTAGTTAATCATTCATGCTTTCCTCAGCTTTGGAGGTGGCCTCTGGAAGAGAAGAGTGAATTTCATCTTTAGGGTGTATCTCTACTAGACAACCCTTTGAATATAATAGGAATGATGCTATAGACGATGATGACGACGATTTGTTGACGGTTATGTGTGAATACTCATGTACTTTAGAAACTGCTATAGACCTTAATCCTCAAGACAATCCTAACTTCAGTTCAAGGAGCCCCCTTAGTTGAAAGGAATAACAGGGTTCCTGATCTCTCCCCCTAATGGTCATCTTGATGGGATAGAACTAGCTATTAGATGGCTAGCCTAACTGCTCTTCTCCCAGATTCCGACCCCCAACTTCAAGACGCTACCGAGAAAGCCTTCTTGGAGACGACTCGCCTTCGTATATGTACCTAATCCCAGAAGGTATTTAGTGTTATGCGATATTTGATTCTATCCGACAACATATTCATAGACAAGACTTCCACTATAAGTTGTCTACATAGAAAGGATGTCTTACGAAACCGCGACATGGCCATTAACGCAGCAAAGAGAAAACACTAGCAGGTGAGTTTTCGTAAAGATAATGTTTTGTCAGCTTTTTATCGTTTATACATAGCTCCACGATAAATCTTAAAAGGATGCAATGACCTTTAACTCCCGAACATGGCGCTCGCAAGCCTTTCTTCTTCCGGCATGAAGCGTTTTGCATGTCGCGATCCAGGCTAACAAGTTCCAAACAGTAATGGTTGAACCGTAGAAGATGAAGTTGTACATGTCCCTTGTCCGAAGCTGAGATGTAAAACGAGAAAAATTACGTAGTAAGATAGAAGTGGGCTTATGTTGTCTGCAGCCAATCATATAATAGCTACCCCGGACTCGGATGGTCTTCAAGAGCGAGCGATCCAAATGAAGCCTAGACCAACGACATAGTTGTCGTAGTAGTGGCACTTCCTATCCGGGATTCGGACTCGCCGTCAAACCGCTCTGGCGGATTCTGATGGTTCTTTCGAAACTATGAACGGTTGACAGGCTACCTAGGACCTAGGGGGTCACGAGGCGATGTATCTTTCGTCACTAACAAGCGAGGAATGTTATATGAAATCCGCCTTGAGCACGACTCCTGAGCGTAGGTATGGCGAGCTCGATGTAAGGCAACAGGATAGGGATGTATATGTATGTATGTATATCCATATAAACATAGACAGGAGTGGAAAACATATATAGATCTCAGACTGCTGCTATTCTCTACCATCACCATCTCTCAATTCATTCTCAGAAACACTTAGACACACAACTCAACAAATAGGGGCATATATACAAGTCCCATCTCAACACCACCACCACCACCACCACCACCACCACCACCACCACCAAACCAAACCAAAACACCCCCAACCCCAACCAAAATGGTCAAAGTCCTCGTCCTAGCCGCAACAGGCAAACAAGGCGGCGCCACCGTCCGCGCGCTCCTCGCCTCCAAAAGCCAACTCCACTCACACTCACACTCAGTGCGCGCGCTAGTCCGAGACGCCTCGTCCGCCAAGGCCCAAGCCCTCGCCGCGCTAGGCGCCGAGGTCGTCGTCGGCGGCGACTGGGCGACGGACGTGGCCGCGCTAGACGGGGCGTTCGCGGGGGGCGTCGAGGCCGTCTTCTTCCCGTCGGTCCCGTCGTTCACGGACTTCGAGGCCGAGCTCAGGGGCGCGACTAACGTCGTCGAGGCGGCGAGGCGCGCGCGCACCGTGCGCCATGTCCTGTATAGTAGCGTGGGCGGGCTGGACAGGTACCAGACGTTTAAGGGGTGGGATAGCACGCCTTTCTTTGCGAATTATTGGACCGCTAAGGGTATGCATACCCCCCCTTTTTTTACTTCCTGGGTTACTGTTATGGGATGGATGATGCTAATGTGAATAATGAATGTAGCCAAGAGCGAAGACCTCGTCAAGAAGGGCGGCTTCGAGCACTATACCATTCTGCGCCCGACTGAGTTCATGTCCAACTACACCGGTGAAACGGCGCACTTCCAGGTCCCCGATCGTAAGTCATCTCATCTCATCTCATCTACCTACCCTTCCTTCCATCCCCACCTCGCTCAAAACAGCAGCCGATAAAAAACAGCACATACTTACACCTCCCCCCAGTAATCAAACAAGGCATCCTCCACACCGCGCTCCCCCCATCCTTCCCCCTCAGCGAGATCGACGTCGACGACATCGGGCGCGTAGCCGCCGCAGCCATCGCCTCGCCCGCCATCTTCGCACGCGGCCGGCGGGAGCTGCACGTCACCGGCGAGGTGCTCACCCTGGGCGAGATCGTCGCGCAGCTCGGCGAGGTCCTGGGCAAGAAGCTTAGCGTCAGCACGTGGACGCGGGAGGAGGCTCTCGAGGCGCTGAGGACGAGGGAGGTCGTCGCGGGCCAGCTGATGCGCCTGGATTCCGACTGGCCGAACCCGCCGGCGGATGACTTCGGCCTTGGGTTTAAGACGTTTAGGCAGCATTTGGAGGAGCATAAGGAGGAGATTAGGGAGTTGTATAAGGCGGTGCCTTAGGTTGCTGGTGCGGTGTTGCTTGGATGTGGGGAGAGTGAGATTGTTGATTATTTAAGGGGTATGGGAAGTAAGGGTCCCGACGGAGAATAGTGCTATAGATTGGACATTTGATACTATTATCATATTAATTTCCTTTCGGGGTTATAATATATTTGGTTAAGTAACTGAATTATGTTTCTTTTCTTTCCGTGATACCCCGTGGGGAATATAAATATTTCCTTGAATTCATAGAGGGATCTCTCTGACTGATAGGCGCAGTTAAGATGATAGTGCTTTACCACCACCAGTCCTACCTTCATGGTTCCTCAAACTAAACTCTAGGTAATAACATATACACGAGCCACAACATCCCAAAATCCACAAGACACGGCACAACGGTCCAAGATTTCGTATCCGTCATTCATGGCTATTCTAATGCATCCTCCTTTTCATACATGCCATCTACCACATCCAAGAAATCAACAAACGCCAGTGGGTATACACAACGCCCGCTATGAGCATGTACTGTATCATCACCAACCCCCCCTTCCCCTACGTCTCCCTTTACTTTACTTTACTTCCCCCCCTTCCCGCTAGCAGGCGCAAAGAAGACAACCTGAACGGTAATATCGTCCCTAATATCCCTCGAGTTCGGGTACCTAAACGTCAGCGCGCCCTGCACCATTTTCTCGTCGCCGCCTCCTAAGCCGTTGCGCACGAGATGCACAGCCGCGTTGTTATCCTGCAGCGTAAGCTTTTGCTCCTCGAATCGGCACTGCTGCTTGCGCCCAAGAACTACCTCGCCAAAACCGTCTGACTTCGGTTTCACCGGCTTTCCTTGCCCCTGAGCCTGCCACTCGACCCACTTCCCTACTAAGTCAACAGCCTGTTCGCTTGTCATCGCGTCCCACAAGCCATCTGTCGCTAAGATTAGAAACGAGGGTCCAGATTCTGGGATCTTGGTCGTAGTGACCAACGGCTCGGCAGTCAGGTACGGCCCTTCCTTGTAAGCGCCATACCGTATAGCAGACGGCAAGCTTAGCCCGTTGTAGTAGTTACGAAGGGTCTCCTTCAGCGCCGCGGGCCACTTCCACATGCCGTCGCCGAAAGTCCGGGACGGCTGCATACCCCACACCCGGCCACCTTTGACTATCTCGGGCTCGTCGGGGAACTGCGCCTGGATGCGGGCGACTTCGCTCGGGGTAGCACCTGTGCAGTCCGTCGTAAGTTCCGTAGCAGCCCATTTGCCGTCCGCGGTCTTCTGGCCGAGGACCGCCCGACAGTCTCCCGTCGACGCTACCGTGAGTTTTCTACTCTGCGGATCGAGGAGAGCTAGGAGGGCGCATGAGCCTGCGTACGCGGCCTCTAGTCTTCTAACTTTCTCTGCAAAAGAAAGACCGCTCTCGATAGTTGCTGCGGCGGACTTGACCAGGGTGTCATCGAGGGTTGTAAAAGCCGATTTTATGGCTTCTTGGATGTCCTCGTCGCTGAGTTGATTTCCGTCCTTGGGCTTGGCATTACCGAGAGCATTCCGGACGTACGGGATTAGTTGTTTGGTTAAGAGATTTGATAGTTGCCAGCCGCAATGGCCGTCGAAAACACCCCATGCGAGCCAGTCCTCGTTGTTTTTATCAAGGGGATTAGAGAAGCTGCCGTGTATGAAGGCATCTTCGCAAGGACTATTAGAAGCCAACTGAGCACCGTCGTATCTCCTCACCGGATTCCCTCCCCCGGGTACGGAGAAGGCATGCTCGTTCAACTGGCGCGTGACGTCCTCCGAAGTGGGAGTGGGGCTATAAGCAATCTGATCGGACAAGCCCAGCTTATTTAGGTCTGGAATACCATTGCCCTTGTCGTTTAAAGCACTAGATGCTTCTGCAGGACCTGGTGTTTGGGTCTGGCTGCTACGAGAGGTAAACCAGTACACAGTTGTAGCTGATGCTAGTCCTGCGGCGAAGGAAATAGCCACGGTACCGGTTGAGAAGGGCTTGGAATGTGCTCCGTTACTTGCAAAGCGTGCTAGGGGTCTCGGTGCGAGATGAGACAGACGTGTTATCGTAGTGAGACGAGGCCGTTGACGAAGTAGCTGGGGGAAGAACATGTTTGCAGATAATGCATGTAGCTGAGCTTAATATGCCGTAGGAATTAGCTTGTAAGAATAGGACACCTTTCTACCTTTAGTTCTACTGCCTCAAACTAAATCTTGGAGTTGGCTAACAGAACAGAAGATGGTATTGGTGAGGCTGCTTTGAATATCGGTGAGCGAATGCATGTACTGTGCGTCCTCGATACGGTTTTATTCTCCGATGTAATTCCTTAGACATATGTCTTTTATGGCTTATAATAAATATGTCGGCTTACCAATCTAGAATCTAATAAATGTCAATTTCAATTGTAGAACTTCTCAGAGTGAACCATCATTTTATACATTGAAGAATATAACAATATAACAAACACGCCGTTTGCTGGGGTCAGAATATCTAACCTAGAATATTTGTACACCTGAGCTAAGCTTTAGCTTGATGTTGTGTACCCTTCAATTACTATAAACAAAAAGGAAATCTTAATAGAAACGTACGTACCTTAGTCACCCAAGTAGCCAAGATCCAAGATAGTAACGCTCTAACCGACAGTACCGAGTCTGGAGTAGGTAAATCATGGGGAAGCTGGGAAGTTGGCGGGATGGGATACAAGGGCGGGTCAGTGTCACTAACAAACAACCGAGGTACCCACTTAATATAGTTGGACAATAGCCCTTGGAATATATGGGGCGCGGGGACCTTAGCTGCTTAGGAATCTCTCTTACACCTATCAAAAGGAAGCCATTCCACTGAGCCAAGGCAATAACACCGTCCGCCGTCTTAGAGGTATTTATATATAGGAATTCCAATTCCCTGGGTTGATATAGATAAGACTTTAATATTTTTATATAATTGGTATATGGTATATATGTATATATTGGTAGATTAATAACAGCGTAAGAGGCGGGAGAAGATACAGCTACAGCAATGGCCGACGTAATCAAACTCCAATACGCCGGCCGCATCGCTACCATCACCATCGATAACGACAAGAAGCTCAACGCTCTCGGCTTCCAAGGTTACTACGCGATAGCCAAAGCATTACGCGAGATTGCCGCGCGCGACGACATATACATCACAGTACTAACAGGCAAGGGCCGATACTTTTCCGCGTAAGTCCACCTCGTCCATAGGTATATCTACCCGATACACGATCACACGACTCACAGTTACTCCAGCGGCGCGGACGTCTCCATCCGCGCCAAAAAGCCCGATGCCAACTCAGGCCCCTCCGAGGCCGACGTCTACATGCGCTGGCTGCGGGACTTCGCAGCCAACAACCTGAACCTAACACGGGCGCTGTACACGCACCCCAAGATCCTAATCGCCGCGCTTAACGGGCCGGCCGTCGGGCTCTCAGCAGCGATTACCGCGCATGCCGACTTCGTGTACTGCGCGCCGCACACATTTCTGCTAATGCCGTTCTCGTCCTTGGGTCTCGTCGCCGAAGGAGGCGCTTCGCATGCCATGGTGCAACGGTTAGGGATAAGCAAAGCCAACGAGGCGCTTATCCAATCCAAAAGGATCACGTGTGAGGACCTCGTGCGCACTGGGTTTGTGAACAAGGTGTTTGATTGCGCGAAGGGGGATAGCGAAGGCTTTTTGAAGCAGGTTATGAAGGAGATTGACGATACGATGGGCGATCATTTGAATAGCGATAGTCTGCTGGGTATCAAGGCGCTGATACAGAAGCCGCATAGAGATACCCTAGAGAAGCAGAATGTGGCTGAGGTTTTCGCCGGCCTGGACAGGTTCGTCAGTGGAATTCCGGAGCAGGAGTTTGAGAAAATCGCGTCGGGAAAGAAGAGGCATAAGTTATGAATATTGGAGACGAGTTTTGGGTGTATTAGATGTTTCCATTTTCTGTAACTATAGCTGTTCGGTTCTTTTTATGGGTATCATGCAAGCAGCCCGAATAGCAAGCTTGTCCTCTTCCAATATTCTTGAGATGCTTTTTTCAGCCTGTCTTTAGCACTACTCTCTAGTCCGGTCCTATTAAATACTTCCTCCGTGAATTCCTTAAACGAGTCTTCCGAGTAGACGTCGGTGCCAAGACATTGTTGGAGAAGGTGAATATCGTATAGCCACTGAATGAGAACCTCCTTGCTCTTCTCAGGCCTCCCCTCACTAGACTCTTCCTTCGCTGATGGACCCTCATTGGGTTCTGTAGTGGTTTCTGTAGGGTCCTCCTCTGTCCCGTCTGTCTCTTCCGTTGACTGCTTTTCCTTGCTCGCCTCGTCCATTTCTTGGCTGTTTACTGTTTCCGAATTACCAAGTTCCTTGCGCCATACTTTGACAAGCTGTCTGCCGAAGATTCGCTTCAGAACGTTTACAGCGGTTGGCGTCCAGAGGTCCAAACCGGCGTCTCCCATGGCCATGATGAGATTGCGTAAGAGTTTAAACGTGCCGGGGGATGGTTGAGCCGGTAAGGCAGGTTCCCCTTCCCATAGAGCTCGTCCAGCCACTCGTTTGCGCGTTAGAACTGTTAAAGCGAATTCTTCAAGGGGTGAGATTGAAACATGGGCTGCGAGCTTCTCATGTAGGGATGGAACGCTTTCCAAGCCAAAAGACTTGACACCTTCAAGCTTAGGCAATCCGCCACGAATATCCCTGAGAATCCTTAAAATGTACATGGAAATAGGGCCATTGTCTGTGCCCTCCCGTTTGGACTTCCAGGCGGTTGCGAGGTGCTCATTGAGGTCTTGAAACGCGGCAGTGATGGCTCCATTAAGCTTGTTTTGTAATAACTCGGGATCGTCCTTGCTCAATAGCTTTTGGCGTTCTGTAATAACATCTTCGTCCTCTATCTCATCCACGTCGTTATCCCAGCGTTGACGTTTAAGCTGCTCGATCGAATCACCAACATTGTCTATAAGATGGTGCCACGATTCGTAGCTTGTGACTACTCGTGCCACTGCATCGTTTCGTCCGTATAGGCGAGAGGTAACTTCGTGAGCGATCTGATTAGCACTGCTCGAGGCGTCCATTTCCAACGTCTCTTCATCCCATAAGCTGCGACGCTGGTCGGTAGTACCAGGCTGCCATGCGTCGAGCGTCGCAGTGACCTCGGATCCAACAAGCTTGAGCTTAGCCACTTTGTTCTCTAGAATTTGTAAAAGTCGATCGTCAATAACCTCCCGTAGTCCGTTGAGCAAAACTGATGGATCGAAACCCCTGGCTTTTCCACCATCCTTGATCCAGTGCTGAAGAACGCTTGTTCGCAGATCCACAATGGTCTTGAACTCGGAAACATGTTCGAGGGTTCTCTTTAGACCCCGGAGGAGAGTCTCTCCACCTTTAGTCGCCCAATTCGTGAGCATTTCTCTGGCCTGTTTACCCTCCAAGTCGTCATGCCGGATGAATGGGGTGAAATATTGTATTTCATCTCCGCACCACTTCTCGAATATATCCAGCCGGAGACCCTCTAGCCCCTGAAGTGACTCATCTGCCAACAAATGCTGCTTCTTAAGTTGGAGCAATGCGTCCGAGAGCTTATTTGGTATCAAGGCTTGGACGTCTAGTAAAGTCCTCGTATACAAGTCAAGACCTTTTAAGACGTTCTTAGCGTCTCTTTCCTTCTCGTGGTCCCCGAGATCGAATTCGCATGTTATAGCTTCCACTCTGACACTTAAAAAATGACGCAGAATGTCCCTCGCACCAGAGCTGGAGGCCAAGCTATACGCAGTCAAAGCTTTCAGAATATCACCTCGATCGACCTCATCACTGATCTTCTCCAATACCTTCTCGACTACTCTGAGTAACCTCCTCCGCAAGCTACTCAGACTCTTCTTCGATCCCTCAACTATGGCTCGAATATCCTCGCCAACATCGTTGTCGGTCCCGAAGCTTGAGACTAGCAACCGTTTCAAGACGAGGACCTTAGCTGCTAGAACCAACCGATCTCCTCTGCCCTCTCCACTCTGCTTCAATAGGCGCCCGACAGCAAGTCCGCACGCATTCAACAACTTAACCCTCGCGATCTGGCTTAATTGCGCCTCGGTATCCTCCCTGCCGCGAAACTTACTTAGCCCCGAGACCTTTGCGCCGACAATGGTGCGCCCACATATACCACCCATATGGTTTAGGATATCCTGGGCGGCCAGCATGTCCCCCCGCATCTGCACGATAGTGTCTGCCGTTCCTAGCAACTCCCTATAGCTGTTTCCGACCTGGGTGCGCAGGCGCGCTGATTTCTCGTCGATCTGAACATGGAGGCTTTTGTGGATGGCGCGGATCTGAGGTAAGGTGTGCGCGGCGAAGACCTGGGCCGAGTCGGTAAACGAAGAAGTGTCTAGGGCCGCCATTGTACGTCTGAAGGAGGGTTCGCAGGGTAGCGGGGGTTGGAGAGTTATTTATCGCATTGGATTCCTGGGGTTTACCAGGTTGGATTTTCTGGGTCGATGTTGCCTGCGTTTCGCATTTAGGTTTAAACTTTGCGGTGCTGGCGTTTTGACAGCGTGACAGCTTGACAGCTTTGTGCTTGCTCAGGATGCACAAGTACATAGGTACCTTTCTTAGGTACGTACTCTTAGCAGCTGACAGGATTTACGTCTGTTGCTCAACTCACTCTACCAATTCTATTATAAACATTCAACACATCTCGCATTTAATAACTACAAAACATAAAGAAAATGAGAGAAATTATATATAATCTCATAAATGTAATCTTAGATACTAATAATAGTCTCACTATATATATACCTCTATCATCACTCTCGATACTACATAAATATTAAATGTTATAAAACAGTGAGATGAAATAAAGAGAGTAAACTATGTTAATATAGATCAGATATTTCATTTATATATATATATATATATATATATATTACTATCGTAAAAGCTGCATTTCTTATAGAGTCTTCTCTTAGATTAGTTTTCTTGATGAAACACTCTAATGACAGCCAACTCAAGAAACAAGTGTAACGAGCGCGAGCAACATCTTGCTTAACCATGGCAATTAATGCCCAATGTACGTTGCTTTCACATGTCTTCCATTGACTTAAATCTCCATATACTGTGTGTATCTGCATCGGTAACTGTACCTGGTTTATAAAGACTTTGGGAGCACCTCCGATAGGATCGACGAGGCTATCGCATAATAAACCCACGGCGCCACAATAGCTGCAATACTACGGACCCAGTATTGATAGAGTTTTGAACCCGAGAACCTGAATAAAGGTGAGTATTAGATGTTGAAATCTGTCAACTTTTATGAGTGAAAGTGTTATCTATGTCATGTTCCACGCGACATCAAACGATCTTGGCAGTCTGGGCAATATATAGAAAGAGCTTGCTCAGAGGTCTAACAAACAGAAACGTTGCAATTTGTGATAGTGGCGCTCGAAATGGCTTGCTTGATCTTGACGCATGCTCCCCCAGTTATACATACTATTATAGTATATCCAGCCATTTGGAAACACCGCGTGTGGAAATTAAATGTCCTACCTTTATGCTGTACTACCACCCCTCCGATAAATACAATCGTGGCATAGATAAGCCAAACTCGAAGGCGCCTTTGTGCTGCATTTGAGTTTTAGATTAATTTTCCTTTGGCGATCGATGTAGGTATGATCTACAGGGCAGAGTCTACACCGACGTCAGAATATAAGCATCTGGTCTCAGGAGTCCGGATACTGGTCCGATGCCTGGAGTAGACTCTAGGTATCTAGCGTCCCACGGAGAAGCGCCCCTACCAGCTTAAGCTAACAACGTCATCTCGCGCTATAGGGCCTCCTGATTTGGTAACGGGACCTTGCTAATGCGTTAGTCGTCGAATCTGTCCTAAAGGCTCGTGATGTCTAAAGGCATCGTGAACGATGGCGTCTTACAGTAGCGAGGAGGGATCAGCTCGACGAATTCCGGGGTCCCCAGATCGGTAAGTTATTTACGAAGTAGAGTTATTAGTTATTATCTATGTTCATCAGCTCATTCGCAACCCCCCCGCACTATTGGTAAAGTCTCAGACAAAGACAATCACAAGTCCAAGATCCAAGGCGTGGGCGCTGATTAATGCTAAATTTGGCGATGAGGGTCCACCTACGCTACTATGGCGTATGGGTGTTGCATATGAAGGTTGGTTTGCTAGTATGCGGGGGAACGAATCAGGATGTCTTGATAAGAATACGGCTGAAAGGGTTGTTGAATTGCACTATGCAATATGGAGTTTGAGATGCATTAGGCCAATTCCTCTTTGACCAGTTAGTCTTATAAAGACCCCTTTGTTCGTGCGTATGATGTAAAATCGTGTCTAGAATGCTGCAGCTAGGTAGTCTTCTACTTACAGCAAAGTGTTAGCATTGGGTAGGTAGGGTTACAGGTATGCAAGATACAGTTAGAGCATCAAACTCTGGATTTCCCAGAATGAAGTAAAGATAGCGCGCAGTGTCGAACTGCTACGAATTGGTACGCTCAGGGACGCGGTAGTTCGGCATGTCTGCGCAATCATATTAGATGGATGAGTTGGCGGGATGCGACTCGCGACACTTTGGCACCAATCGCAATATATAGCTCAAAGTCTTCGGCGAGAAGGTAGAATAGAGTAAGCTCTTATTCATAGAATCGCAATCTGTCTTGCCGGAAGATGAGTTTGATACGTAGGTATAACATTCCGGTATCTACCGCAGACATGACTCATGATGCTCTTCAAAGCCCGACACCCTTCGACGATGATTTCTATGAGAATGCTCAGGGTTCCCCACAGAATCTTGTAATAAATTGACTTACAAGTAATGGTTGCATGGAGTATCCGTACGATGCTACCCAAACGTAGCATGTAGCATGGGCTAGACTGACTTACTATTAAGGTAACCTGATAGCTA